ATCCTCAGTGTCTTGTCATTCCTATTGGTTACTGACTTGCTTGCTTTGGCTTATGGTGTATAGTCTCCTGCTGGGGAATGTTGTAATAGGAGCAACGGGGCTGCATCCCCAGCACCCTGGCCGCCTGGCTAGCTTATGCCCCGAAATAACAACACACAAATAGTATTCATTTAAACACTGCCTGGTTCATTAGCTTTAGCCCTTACTGGCTAATTCTCATATCCCGATCAACCCATCTCTAATATTTTGTGTAGCACCGGTCTTACTGGGAAGGATTCAACATGTCTGACCTAGCGGCTTGCTCCATCGTGTCTGCCTCTGAGAGGAGCTGCATGGTTTCTGAGCTCACTTCTCTTCCTCCCAGCATTTTATTCTGTTTACTCCTCCCTCCTATGTTTTAACCTGTGAGGGCCAGCCAAGCAGTTTCTTTATTTTTTTTAACCAATGACCTTCCTCCATCAGGGGAAGGCAATGGTGACAGTTAATCCTGTGTCCACAGGCAGGAATCAACGTCCACATTTCCTCTCTCTTGGTTTTATTTAGCTTGGGACCAGAGCCCCTGAGATGGTTGTCACCTGTGGGTTTTACCTCTTTAGTTAAACTAATCTGAAAACACAGATATTGGGAAGTAATGTTTCCAAATTTGGTCAGGTTAACACTGAAGGTTCACATTCACTGTGCCAAAAATGCTGTACCCCCTGTGGGTTTGCAGTGTTGTGCATCTGTGCAGTATCTATAAGTGCTGATTGCTTTGTCAGCAGAGAACTTTTTGATTTCTTTCTCATTTTGGTCATTTGAGTAGTATGTAGCAGTATTCTGGTGTTTCCATGGAAATGGTATAGTAATGGCTTTCATATCTATTACCTAACTCCTTGTCTAAGCTCTGGTCATTTGTTTCCAGTTTCCTGATTGTCTATTTTGTCCAAAAAGCATCAAACCTGCTTTGTAACTTTTTAGAACAACTGGTATTATAGGCAGGGTTAGGGTATATATCTGCCTTTTGGTATTGAGCGTACATAATCACACAGTGTCCTTTGCTGAGATACTAAAATAATAATAGTTCTCAGAAGTAGGATTAAAAATTATCTTCCCTGAAGTTTATGAGAAGCAAAAATAGCTGGGAACATAGCTCAACATGAGCTTGGCCTTCTTTTCTACTTTGAAGTGCAGTTTGTGGGACCCTACAACCCAGATGGTTAGACACTTCAGCAATTTATCCAAGTTGAGTTTTCTTCCTTTTATTTGTACTTTTTAATATTTAGGTTTTCAAGACAGGGTTTCTCTTATGCATCCCTGTCTGTTCTGGAACTCTGTTGACCAGGCTGTACTCGAACTCAGAAGAGATCCACCTGCTTCCGCCTCCTGAGTGCTGGGATTAAAGGTGTGTGCCACTATTGCCTGGCCATTTGTACTTTTTACCTGTTGCTTTTGGGGGTCACAGGCTCCTGTGTGTTATGAATGTGCTCTGCCCCTGTTGGTCTTCATGTGATAGGATTCATTTTGCCTTTTATATTTCTCCTTTGGCTTCATTTATGTATTTTTAGCAGGATAGCCGTTTAACTTGCTAGCCTAGAGCTCCCTGTGGTAGACCAAGCTGACCTCAAACAGGACAGTCCTCCTGCCTTTACTTTCTGAAGGCTGGAATCATAGACTTGTTCTACCATGTGTGGCTCCTATTTTGTGTATGCTATATTTATTTGTGTGTATTCATGTATGTGGTGTGTGTGCATACATGTGGCATGTGCATGTGTAAGCCAGAGGTCAATGCTGTTAGTCTTGTCACTCTATCTTTTTTGAGATGGGACTTCTCACTGAACTTTGAACTCATTTATACTGGCACTTGACCCACTGAGCTGTCTGTCTAACTCCTTGGTTGGTGTGTTTGTGTGTGTGTGCACACCTACCTGCCTCTCTTGGTTTTCTTCCTTGTGGATACATTCTTGTGTTCTACTTTCTTGCAGAGGTAGAATTTAGGATGTTTAAGTACTCGTTCCCTTAGTACCTTGACTCTGTAGCAAGTGCTTAGTTATTACTTAGTCATTACGAAGGTACAACGTTGATTTGTTTGGTTCTAGGTGCTTTGAATACAGGCACTTTAGTGTGAGGGGAGGCAACAAATGAATAAATACCCAGTATTCTTTTACTTTCGTTCCATGATTTACAGAATCCTATGCTGCTACTGTAACCATATGGCTGCTAAATTTGAATCCTGGCTTTGACACCACTCCCTAACTTAATTATCTCTAGTTTCCCATTGTTCATCTGTACATGGAAAATAAAAAATACAGTGGTGCTATGAATAGGAAATGGACATATTTCATGCTCACTTGGCACATGGTAGTTCCACATCTCTGTCTATTAATGTGTTTAATAATATCATTTTGTATCAACAAGCTTTATTTTATTTTATTTAGCTTATTTTATTGAGTTAATACGTATCCAGTTATTTTTATACAAGAACTAGAGTTGTCAGACATTCTCTGAAAATGGCTAACTAGTAAATAGCTTTTGGTTTTAATTTGCTGCTGGACTCCAGTTTTTTTATATGCTTATAAAGACATTGGTAGGCCATACTTTCCAACCTGTGACTATAGAAGTGCCTTTTTCATGTCTTAGGTATTGGGTATTTAAAATATGTTCAGCTTTCTTCCATTTCAGAAATCTTACATGTCTGTACTTGTTGGTTTCTTTCAAATTACTTCCTTGGAAAGTCATCCTCATTTAAAATTATAAAACCTGTATTGCCTCACAACTCAGAACTGAAATACTAAAAAAATGATAAGGCTGATAATCTGGTCCATTACTGTGCAGCAGTTGTCACTAATCATTATAGTTTACATATGCTACAAGTGGATGTTTCCCCTTGGGTTTTAAACCAAGCATTAAAATTTTGAATTCTTGGCTATCTGATCATTGTATTTTGTGTATTATGCCACATAAGACCTTCAGAGAAGTAGATGACAAAGCAATAACAGGCAAGGTTAAAACAGGCCACTAATACAGCAACTACTGCGGCTGTCAGTCTCACCATCTGCACCACCCTCAAAAATGTGACTGTTCCATTTGCAAAGGGCAAACCTGGATGATGAATTTAGAAAGGAGTTGGTTGTTCATAGAATTATAAACTCCTCAGTTTGAGTTGGTGTACAAACTGATGGTGCCTTTTTTCTTTCCTTCCTTCCCTTTTTTTTGATATCAAATCTCAGTTCCCACTTCTTCCCTCCTTCGATTCCTTTCACCTCCTCCCACCCAGTGATGTCTTTTAAAGACTTCTTTGGCTGCATAATTTGAAAATCACTGTCTAAAATTTTCTGTGTGTTAAGTTAATGAATGTTTTGGGGACTCACCTTTAACCATATTAGAATGTTCTAAGATTAGTAAAACAAGACAGTCTTTGTTGTAAAGTGACATTTTTATTGTCCTTAGATTCCTTCCCTTTAAAAAGAGTATTATGGTCTTTGCCATTTCTTATTTATGAGAACATAACTCAATGTTCTGTGCTGGACCATATGTCACATTTAATGTAATGATTCTGACAATGCTGTTGTTGTTTTTGTTTTTATAAAACATGGAATAGTTTAAAAATCTTAAAGATATTCCTCATGTTGGTAGCTTTCATGATCTAATTCTTTTTCATAATGTTGTGTATTTTAATAAACATGTTTATTTTCTTTGTATCCAAGAGTGTATTGCTGATATTTGAGAATACTATTTGCATTTATGTCTTTTAGAATTCCACCTGAAATTAATTTTGCATTGAAAATGTTCCCTCCCCCATATATATCTTAGGTTTTTGTTGGTTCTTGTTTTTGAGACATGTAGGCCACATTGACCTCTTTCTGCCTTAATCTTGGAGGCTTTGGATTTGTATAAACAAGCCTAGCAGCAGAGATAGGCACTTGCCTAGCATACTTGAGTCTTGAAAGTTTGATCCATAGTAACCCCTCCAACATAACAGCAAAAATGGGGTGCTGGAGAGATGGCTCAATGGTTAAGAGCATTGGCTGCTCTTCTAGAGATCAATTCAATTCCCAGCAACCACATCGTGGTTTACAACTCTCTGTAATGAGATCTGGTGCCCTCTTCTGGCCTGCAGGCATGCCTGGAGGCAGAACACTGTATATATAATAAATAAAAAGAAAAAGATGGTGACGCTCACCTTTAATTCCAGCACTCTTTTGGGAGGCAGAGCCAGGTTGATCTCTGTGGGTTCAAGGCCAGTCTGGTCTACAGAGCAAGTTCCAGAACAGTCAAGGCTATACTAAGAAACCCTGTCTCAAACAAAAAAAAGTTCTCATGCTCATCAAAAACATTTAAATAAGCCATGTGTGATGGCACATATCTGTAACTCCAGCATTCAAGAGGCTCAGGGAGTAGGATAGCAAGTTTGAGGCCAGCTTGAGCTGCTTGTCTAGTCTTGACAAAAACCAACAAACAACATTTTGTCACAAAATAATCATTGTTCAAATGGTGTTAACCAAAAAAAGAAAAAAACACCACCACCAAAAAAACCCTCTCCAACTGGACTTTCAAGATGGCTCCGTGGGTAGAGCGCTTGTAGTGCAAGCCTGGAAACCTAAATCCAGTCCCTGGAACCTGTGTGAAGATGGAAGGGGAGAACCTGTTCCACAAAGTTATCCTCTGACTTCCATGCGCACAATTTGGCATGTTCATTCCTTTACAAGTCACCAAACACATGGTGATAATAAACCCGACCAACAAAACACAGTCCCACAAATATGTGGTTGATTTCTTTGTATTCACAAATTAAGAGAAATGGCTACACATCTGGCATTTATTAATGTGTTCTTGATTGGTGGAATGGTTTTGTGTTGGTTTATTTTGGGGATCCCCCCCAAATGAAAGTGGTTACAAAAGAACCTCGGATCTCATTTTTGGTGATACCAGGCTGATGCATAGATCTAGAGTGTTGTTAGGAACACCCTCAGCGAGTTGGGGGACAAAAACTGATGTCTTTTTGTTTTGTTTCAATTATACAGCAGATATAATTTCTACAGTAGAGTTTAATCATTCTGGAGAATTGCTAGCGACAGGAGATAAAGGTGGGAGAGTTGTCATCTTTCAACAAGAGCAGGAGGTAAGTGGTGAAAGTTCACTGTCCCCTTTTCAGTTGGATCTTGAGACTGGAGTTTATGTTGTAGAAATAAATCCTTCAGGGTAGTGACACTTTAAAACCCTGAGTAAATATTCTGTGTGCACATAGCTCTTGGTGTCTCTTAGCTTTTTTTGTGTGTGTGTGTATGCCTTTGTTGCTTTTATTTGAAAACCCACTTTAATTGTAAAAAGCCTTTGGTTAGAAAACAGAAAGGTAGGAAGTGGTTCATTATTCCAAGATTAAACTAGATTTGAAGGCTTTACCCTCAGTGATAAATTGACCTTCTCTCAAGGATTAGCTGTTCTGTGTAATTGAGAGTGAGGTTGACTGGAAGAAATTGAGCCAAATTATTTTACTCAGTTCATAGAAAAACTGTTACTGGGTCTTAAATGTCTGCATTGCACTTCCACATATGTGAATGTAATTAATGTATCATCACAGTGCTAGCTTTTAAAAGTTGGATACTGTTTCCTTTTCTCTTTTATGAATGAAAATTTAAAACAGACTGTGTAGTTAAGTACATTTCAGTTTTGTTTTTCTCACAACTTATGCACACTTATAAATCTTCCTGACAGGGTTCCTCATAGTTTGTCATACTGGGTATTTTCAAGCTTGCTCCAACCATTTTAGGTCAAGGTGTAACATTTAAGAAAATTGGCTTTGAAACATCTGTCCCTGTCTGTCTATAACATACTCAAAGAATTTAATGTTGATAAATTACAGGATTTTACAAATAAATGTCTAAATCAAAACTCAGGGTAAGGTTTTAAAGGATTGTGAAATTCCTTAAATAAGCAAAGACTCTAGTAATAATACTACTACTTTGCACTTCTATAGCGCCTTTGACCTGAGGATCTCAAAGTGCTTTAGAAACACTAATGAATTAATCCTCACAACCACCCCCGTGAGGTAGGTAATTTAATTTTAAAAGAAATGATTAATAGTGTCTGAATAGAAGATGCACAAACACTAAATGTCTCCTTTTATTTATTTTTAAATTTAATCTTTTTTTTTTCTTGGTTGAAAGAAAGTAAGAAAAATGAGACTCAAGAGCCTTTGCCTGACAGAGAGTGATTTTGGTGGGAAGGGAGGCTTATCAATTTTCTGTTTCTGGTTTTGTTTTGAGGCCGAGTTTCAGATAGCTCTGACTGGCCTTAAATTTATCCAAGGATGACTAAGAACTTCTGATGACCTTGCCTGCACTTCTGGGGTGCTGGGATTATAGGTCTATGTCACCATGCCCAGTTCTATTTGTGGCAGGGATTGAACCCAGGACTTTATTCTAGGCAAGCAGTGTGCCAACTGAGCCACACCCCCCAGCCCTTTGTTATAGTTGCAAACAGCTAGAGATTTGACCATACTTATCTTTAAATACTGAGGTGTAATGGAACTTGCTTTTATTTTTCACAAATAAAAATGTCAAGTTAGAAATAGAATATCCAGTGTCCAGTACTTCTGGCATATCTTTTCATTCCCCCCTCCTTTGCCTTTTGTGGTAGATCCCCCAAAATGTGAATGTTATTTTTATTACTTTAATACTTTATAGTAGGCATTCTTTGCCCTTAAAAAAACTCTTGTTGTTATTATTAATGAGATGGTATATCATACAGCTGAGGTCAAAGATGAATTTGGCAGAGAATTTGACCTTGGGTCTTCTGACTTTACTTTATTAAGTCCTGGGATTATGCATGTGTGCCACTACAGCCAGTCTAAAGAGAAACTTCAAAATCAATTATGATTACTATATTTGATCTAGATGGCAAAGGGTAATGTATATAGGCTTTTCTGGGGTTTAGGTTCCTCACTGAGGTCACTGTGTCGCTGCTATTTTAAAGTGGAAGTTGTCAGCTAAAAAGCTAACTGGGAAATATTTTGCGTGAAGTCATTTCCACCTTCTGTAAGTGTTAAATTGTTATAGAAGTCAAATCAGATATAAAAAGGTGAGAATTTAGGACAAAGTGGGGCAAATGATTGCTTTTATGTGAGTTTGTTAGTTTTCAAAGTATTCTAAAATCTTTCTAAAAGCCCCAGTGATAGTGATGGGTGTTGAAAACACGACATACTTACAGGAAATTGTTTAAATAGTTTATGTTAGGAAATGGCCCAGAAATCCATGTTAGAGAGTAGTTTCAGCCTGGTGAGACATCTTAGTGAGTAGAGGTCCTTCAGCCAAGCTTGTTGACTGACAGCTTGATCCTCAGGACTCACATGGCAGGAGGAGAAGAGACACAACACAGGTTCCTCTAGGTTTTTTTCGTGGCACACCCACAACAGAAAGAAATGACTGATTTATTTATTTATGGGTTTTTGAGACAGGGTTTCTCTGGAGATTTTGGAGCCTGTCCTGGTTAGCTCTTGTAGTCCTGGCTGGCCTTGAACTCATAGAGATCCTCCTGCCTCTGCCTCCTGAGTGCTGCCACTGCCCAGCTGATTAATGTTATTTTTTTTTTTAGTATTTATTTATTTATTTATTAATTATGTATACAGCATTCCTTCCATGTATGTCTGCAGGCCAGAAGACCCCATTGTAGATGGTTGTGAACCACCATATGGTTGCTAGGGATTGAACTCAGGACCTTTGGAAGAACAGTCAGTGCTCTTAACTTCTGAGCCATCTCTCCAGCCCCTGACTAATGTTCTTTTAAGAAAAGAAATTTTCTAAAAATTCTGTCAAGATTCTAAAGTGCTTTTTGAAATTAAGTACTGTTGTACAAATAAGCAGAATTGCTAACTTTTGGTAATGACCCCATGATAAGAAAATAATTTATTGGTTAATATGCATTTTCAGAATTACTTAGTATGAAACATGTTTTTAAGTTATAGGTTATGTAACAGTGGTGATTTTTCCATCTGAAACTTTATCTTGTTGGTATTAATCGAGATACTTCTGCTAATTAATTTTGCATACTTTAAGCTGTGTCTTAAGGGATAAATTTGGGTCTCTGTTTATGAGTATGTGCAATATCTGAGGGATTCATATAAAGTAAGATAATCTTTTCCTAATTTTTAAGTTAAATCCTTAAAAATTTAAGATGTAGGGAGATAACCCAGTTCTTGAATTGAGATTTTCATTTCATAACTTATATTTTCTGGAAGCAACATTGTCCATTTATGCATGGCACTATCCTTCAAACTCATTCTTGATTAAAATTACATTTTTAAATTAGCTTGCAAGGTAGTCCTGGAACTTTTTCAGACATCTTTGGTGTTAATTGAGGGGGGTTGTTGCTTTCTTTCTCAGTACGCTTGTCCTTGCTTTATATGTGTTAATTTAGTATCCTGACACTTTGCGCAAAGTGTTTATCAGATCTGAGAATTCTAGGGGAGATTTTTGAGTCTCTTAGATATAGAATCTTCGGCAAATGGAGATACTTTGACCTTTTCTGTCCTTTTATATTCCTTTTATTTGGTCCTCTTGTCTTTTTTCTTTTTTATTTTAACACCTTTTTTCTACTTTTCTTTTGAGTTTCATTCATTTATTTATTTATGAGTGCTCTGTCTGCAGGTATACCTGCACAGCACCAGATCCCATTACAGGTGGTTGTGAGCCACCATGTGGGTGCTGGGAATTAAACTCAGGACTTCTGGAAGAACAGCCAGTGCTCTTAACCATTGAGCCATCTCACCAGCCCCTGTTTATGAGTGGTTTGTCTATACATCATATATATATATATATATATATATATATGTGTGTGTGTGTGTGTGTGTGTGTGTGTGTGTGTGTGTGTGTGTGTGTGTGTGATGCCTGTGGAGCTTAGAAGAGGGCATTAGATCTTCTGGATCTGGAGTTACAGAGCTGGGCACTGGATGTGGATCCTTTAGAAGAGCAGCCAGTGCTTTTAACCACTGAGCCCCAGGTTCTCCTGTCATATTGCCCTAGCTAAGAATTCCGTCTCTGTATTGAATAGGAGTGTCTTATTCCTGATTTTATTGTAAATAATTTGAGGTTTTCCCCCATTTAATGTTGGTTATAGGTGTGTATTATATAGCCTGTATTATGTTGAGATAGATTCTTTCTGTTCCAGTTATCTTCAGGACTTTTAGAATGAAGGGGTGTTGAAATTTGTCAAATGCCCTTTCTGTATCTCTTTTGATGGCCTTAGGATTTCTGTCCTTTAATCCAGTTAGTAACATTTACTGATTTATATCATCAGGGTAGTTGGTCTGAGTTACAGTTTTGGTGCCAAGGCGATACTAATATAATAAAAAGATTTAGGTACCGTGCCTTCCTTTTCTATTTTATGGGATAGATAGAGAAGCAAAATTCTCCAATGAATCCATCTGGCCCTGGGCATATTTTGGTTGGGAGACTTTTTTTTTTTTTTTTTTTTAGCATCTTGACACAAAATGGGTATCACTGTGTAATCTGGCTATCTCTGCCTACTGAAAGGTATGTGCCAACAATCTTGACAGATATTTTTCGTTCATTTATATATGTTTCTGGGTGTGTGTGTACATATACCATATGCACTTGTGGAGATCAAGGGACAACTTGAGTGTTCTCTCCTAGTCCCTCGTTGGGATTTTCAATTACTGCTTCAGTCTCACTGCTCCTCGTAGATGTGTTTAAACTTGTTTATCTCATCTATTTGGTAGAACAGTCAGTCATCTAATAATTGTTCCATTTCTTTGAGACTTTTCTAAGTTATTGACTATATGTTTTAATATAAGGTAAGACTTAAAGGGTTTCTGAATTTCATTGGTATCACTTTAATGGATTCCTTTTTCATTTCTAACTTTATTAATTTGGGTCTTTTGGTTAGTTTGGCTAGGGGTATGTCTGTGTATCTTTTAAAGAACTAGCTCTTTAGTTGATTGGTTGTTTTCACTTTGCTAATTTATACTCTGATCATCACCATTTCTTTCCACCTGCTGACTTGTTCTTTTTCCAGCATTATTGAGCCATTTCTCCACTTGTTAATGCAGGTGCCTAGATCTCTAAACCTCCTGAGACGGTCTTCGTCATATCACATAAGTTTGGATGTGTTAATGTTTTCATTTTTTGCCATGGGTATTGTGGTGTGGGGGTGTGGGTTCATGCGGGTCCATGAAATGAAGATTCAGGTTCTTAAGAATTAACTTAGCTTCTGCAGCTATAGGGGGCTTAGTCTCGGTGAACAGAAGCACTTTCCCTAGCCCTTTGGAATTTTTATTTTTCCTTGTGTTTACACTTTAACTAGTAGATTTCCATATATCAAAACATACTGAATGAAGCTTACAAAAATACAATGCCAAGTGCAAATACCTGATTCATGAGCTAACACAGTTTTCCTGGTTCCCTCTAAACCAAATTTTGCATTGGCTTTGTATCAAGACAAGATTCACAGAGGGCAACGAAAGGTATCTGTAATACAAATGATGGATTAAGGCTTATATAAGGCTAACTCCAGATATGGCCTAGTGGGGTTTCATGGCTAGTGGAGGTTGTTTGCCATCTCTCTGGCGCAAGGCTTGCAGGACATTATGCCACAATTTTTATTTGACCCCAGAAATGCTTTTCTTCTTGATTTTTGTGTGCTACTTAATTTTCATGAGGTTGTCTATGCTCATGAGTTTCTTTTGCTGTTAACTTTGTACCTTACTCCATTGTGATCAAATAGAAAGCAATGAGTTGTTTTTTGTTTTCCTGTGTTTGTTAAGACTCGCATCCTGTCTGAAGCAGAGAGGTGATCAGCTCCTAAGAAACTATATCCTACAGTGTTTGTATGGACTGAATGTTCTATAGGTGTCTATTGAGTTCATTTGATCTGTGCTGTTTTTCTGTTTTCAGTTGGGGAAAGTGGGGCATTGAAGTAGTGACAGTTGTGCTGGGGTTATTCTGTGACTTCACGTCAATAGTTGTAGGAAGTTGGGTGTGCAATTGTGTTTGGGCATATGATTTTAGAATCACACTGTCCACTTGATGGATTGTCTCACAGTCAGTGTGAAGTAGTTTTTTTTTTTTTTTAATCTTTTCTCAGTAGCTGTGGTTTGAAACCTGGCTTTTTTGTTTGTTTTTCGAGGCATGGTTTCTCTGTAACTTTGGAGCCTCTCCTGGAACTAGCTCTTGTAGACCAGGCTGGCCTCGAACTCAGATATCTGCCTTCCCCTGCCTCCCATGTGCTGGGATTAAAGTCATATGCCACCACCACGTAGCTTGAAGCCAGTTTTTATCAGCTTTAGTGACACCTGCTTGTACTTGCTTGGAATGCCTTTTACCATTGTTTCACCTTAAGGTGATTTTTTTTTTGTGGTGAGTTTCATTTCTTGGGGTCAACAAATAGATGACACCTGATTTTTTTTTTTTTGATTCAGTCATAATCTGTGGCTTTTGATGGGAGAATTAAGATCATTAATATTCAGAATCGTTATGAAAATGCATGTATTTTGGTGTGTGTGGTGCTTTTTTCATCTTGTTTTAACTGTTACTCTAGTGTTGCTTATTCTTCCTATGGCCTTGTAGATGGGTTTGCTTTTTCTCTCCCTTTAGATATCTTCTGTAAAGCTGACCTTGTGGTCATACATTGCTTTAGCTTGCCTTCCTCCCTCTCCCTTATTCCTCCCTCCTTCCTTTCTTCCTTCCCTTTTTTCTTTCTGTCTGTGTGTATGCCTGCACACCAGAAGAGGGTCCCAGATCTCAACAGATGGTTGTGAGCCACCATCTGTTGAGTACTAGAACTAGAACTCAGGACCTCTAGAAGTGCTCATAACCTCTAGAACTAGAACTCAGGACCTCTAGAAGTGCTCTTAACCCCATCTCTCTAGCTCAGCTTAGTTTATTTTAATTGTGGGAAAATTTTTATTTTTCCTTCTGTTCTGACAGATTGTTTTGCTGAATGTAGTAGTCTGGGTTGGCATTTGTTACTTTCAGAACTGAGACCTGGCTTTGCAAGTATCAGTTGCTGTTCTGCTGTTACTCTGATGGGCCTGCCTCCATAAGTGACTTTATGTTTTTGTTCTTGCTACTGAGATTCTTTATTTTCTTTATTTGCTATTTGAATTATGGTTTGATGAGGGATTTTCTTTTCTGGTTGTCTGTCTGTTGTGAATGTTTCCTGTATCATTTTTTCCTAACTGAAATTTTTTTCTCATCTTTTGAGAATATTTTCTGTGCCTTTAGAATAAGATTCTTCTCTTTAAGTATGGCTGTATTCAGTATATAGCCACTGGTTATGTGGCCATTTTCAGTTAAGTTTATTAAAGAATAGATAAATTCCCTGTCATGGCGATGAAATAAAGTGAAAATAACATATGATAGCTAAGGCTGTGGTAATGAGGCTGCTAATATTCCCAAGGCCTCTTCCTGAGATTGTCAGCACTATGTTCTCCTGCTCCAATGGGGATGTAGTCTTAGAAATGCTCGAGTATGTAAGATGTAGAAGTGGATGGGCTTGGATTTTTCAGTGGTATAGTTGTTCATGCAAATAAACAATAAATCCATTTTAAAAAAGCTAGAAAATGAATGAATGAATGAATGAACGAACTAGCAAGACATTAATCCCATCCAAGAGTTGAAGTGCAAACCTGTAATCCATCACATGGAAGGCTGGTGTGGGAGAATTACAGGTTTGAGGCTCTCCTGGTTTATATTAGCAAAACTGGAGTGAATGAAGAAGTGAGTGAATGAATTTCCCTTTGATTTTAGTAGCTGTATTGTAGATGCTCAGTGTAAGGCCAGTGGTTAACGTGTGGCAGGTAGAAAACAAAGTTGTTCTAGAATTATGGTATACTTGCTTATTTTTGTCTCTGCAATATGTCTTATGACTCGTGATAGGGACTGAATTGCCAGTAGACCTGGTGCTACACAGCAAGGCTGCTATGGTCAGAGTCCAAGCCTGCCTCCTGGCATATGTTCTTGTCCTTGTTCAGTGTGCCGCCTCCTTCCTTACTCCACTCTGAGTCTTGTTAGGACAGGGTCTTCTCTGTGGACCTTGTGTGATTCTTGAACAGTCTGTAGAATAGTATTTTGGTTCTGTTTCTGATCATTTTGATTTCATAGGTTTGCATTTTTTAATGCAGTTTGTAATTTCTCCTTATTCTGTACATTGTGTACTTGAAATGTATACTTCCAACACTCCGGATTCTGCTAACTATCCCCTTTAAGCATTGGATAGTCGTAGTACTACTATATATCACTGTTTCTTTTTTAAATATGATATAAAAACTAAAACAATATTCATTACTGTAATTATAGTCTCGTTTATTATTTCATATGATGCTGGTTGGATAAGTTTAGGTGGAAGTTTGACAGCATTCTTTCTAACATGATATTTGAGTATACAAAATAAATGATTTACCTTATGGAATTTGGCGTATGAGTATGACAGTGGGGCAAACACTAAAGTTGACTTTTACATCAACATACTTCCAGAGCTGGGTATGTTAGTGATATGCTCTGCATTCTTAACATTGGTCAGCCCACTCACTAATAATTGATGTGTGCAAGAATAACTAAGTAGTCCTGGTTTTCATTAAAATGATTGTCTGTTTGTAAAATTATGTTTTCAATAGTTCTTTTTTGAATAAGATTTAAAAAAAAAAACAAAGGTTTTCATGAAAAGGTTTCTAATTGTGTGGTTATAATTTTCACTTTTGCTGGACTGCTGGTGTTAACTGAAGCCCTTCTCAAGTAGTGTTCATATTAATCTCTTCAGTTGATATGCCAGCAGACTGACACTAAGTGAACTATAAGTGTCAGGGTGTAGGGTTCCTGTGATGAGATCAGGAGAGTGGGCTGTGTAGCAGAGTTTCAGGCAGGCATTGCCAGGGTACTGATACAGACAGACAGGATTGGTAGCAGATTTGTCCCTACCAGTGTTCTTAGGTTAGGCATTTTTAGGGTCACATTGTGGATTTATGAGAGCATCTTTTTTAAAGGGCTTTTCATCACTGAAATACAGAAAGGAGGCTTCAGAAAAGACAAGACCAATTATCACATTAGGTAACAGACAGTGTGCTTCAGCCAACTGTTTTTGAGCATTGTCTCCCTAATTTTTACATTTTACATGGGATCCATTATTGTGGGTGTTCATATTTCTTAATAGTATAACTGTGCTATTTAGTAGGCAACTTAATCAAGCCAGTCTGTATTTATTTGGTCCACTTTTTGCCTATTGAATGAACTTATGAAGTGTTTCTTTTCTATTCTTTGTAAAGCCTTTTTATTTCTTAAAGGGTTTTGAATGCAGAAAGTGGTGTAATAACATATAAGATAAAGCCGCCTAGTAAGCTAATCGACAATTTCAGAGTCTATTGGAGTTGATTATGGTTAAATATATTTCTCAATATAGTCCAAATATTTTTCTTTCTGTTTTAGAACAAAATCCAGTCTCATAGCAGAGGAGAATACAATGTTTACAGCACCTTCCAGAGCCATGAGCCAGAATTTGACTACTTGAAAAGCTTAGAAATAGAAGAGAAGATCAACAAAATTAGGTGGTTACCCCAGAAAAATGCTGCCCAGTTTTTATTGTCTACCAATGGTAAGTGTACATCTTTTGTTTTTAGGCACTCATGTAGCCATGTCCTGTAGAGAGGATACAGGCCCTTCCAAGAAGACTTCTGCTTGAGATCTTTGTGAAGAAACGCTAGCAGAACCCTTCCCTGTACAGAACGTAAAGTCTATGTTAGCTTCTTTTATTGTTTACTAGCAAGTTTAAATTTTTATTTAGCCTGTTTTTTTGTTGTTTTGCTTTCTGCTTCCTTTCAGCCTTGTGGCCTTGGGCTGATCCAGAATACTGAATTGATTATTCCTCACCTGTAGAGTAGAGACAGCAGTGTCTGTTGCAGTACTGTTAGGAATACATAGTAATGTGGTACCTTGGCACGCAGAACCAGGGTTCAGAAAATGTTCATTTCCTTACTCTTCATTGCTAAACTGGGCAGAGGACAGTTTCTGTGCCAGGATGATCTCTGGGAGAGTTTCTTTCCTTGGCTTACATTAGCATATCACTTTCTTCTCACAAAACCACATGCCTGAAAGACTTATCTTCTCATACTAACTGCAAGGAAAGTTGTTAATGGGGGTTAGAGTTAGGTGAAATGGAGGCAAAAATTTGAAGCCCTGTATGACAAAGTTGAGTGATTCTCTCTCCCCCCTCTCCCCTACTTAAAATGTGACTTGGTTTATTTATACTAGGACCTTCGGATTAAAGAGATGAGGATGGTGGTTGGAGATCTGGGTAGCATGGCCTATAAAAATTTAGATTAAAACTTTTTTTGAGACTGATACACGTTAGCAGAAATCTCATGTTTTCTCATCTAACTATTAATAGAAGCAAACCTTAGCACTTATACCTTTCTATTTGTGGAGTGTAGACTCATGACTTCTTAGGATAACAGTGGGAAATATTTAGATCATTAGTGATGATTTAGATTATCCACATTATACCCTGTAGTCTACTATATTAATTTTGGGGAATGCAGCACATAAAATACTACCACTCATGATTCCATTTGTGTCCTTGGGGACCTATTTTTCTTCCAATTCAATACACACACACACACACCGGTTTTCTTGTCTTTTCATATGAATGTTTCTTTGCACTTACAAGGCAAGGGAGATAATGCGACAGTCTTGCATTTTAGCCTAGGCTAGGCTTAGCTTTCCCAGGCTGGGGTTGCAAGCTTGGACCACAAGGCCTACCTCATGGCAGTTTGGATTTTTTACTTTTTCTAAAGTTAGGGATCAAGTACAGGCCTTCAAGAGTTCAAGCAGAGAGGGTAGTATAATGGGACGCAGTGAGTGCTCAGGACTCCCTCCCTACCTCATTGCAGATCATTAGTTATCATTCACTATGTCCACACGCAGCTTCCATAGACTGCCTTTTTTGCTCTTCTAGCAAAAGTGTCACCGAATAAGCATTTCCTTTGTTTGGCTTTGAGATGAGGGTTATAGGTGTAGTCACTATGCTCAACTGTGATGACCCTTAATTTAGGGGACCATTTGAGGTTGAGGCTAATAGGAACTCCCATGGCTTGGCCAGGGGTCTGTATTCTGTATCTGTAGACAGTGGAGAATATCTCTAAATACTGGATGCCTACATTTGAAAATACTACTTTTACATATTATTTAAGGGCCTCTTTAGTCACTGCTCTATTGTGTGAAGAGATGCCAAGACCAAGGTAATTCTTAAAAAAAAAAAAAGCATATAATTTGTTTATAGTTTCAGAGGTTTAGTCTGTTACCATGGAGGGAAGCGTGGCAGCAGGTATGGTGTTGGAGAAGTATTTGAGAGCTACACCCTGATCAGCAAGCTGGGGTTTGTGGGCAAATGGAAGAGAAACAGACTGAGCATGGGATTTTGAAACTTCAGAGCTTACCTCCAGTGAAACACTTCCCCCAAGAAGGCCACACTTTCTAATCCTTTCAACACTGCCATTTCCTAGTGATTAAGCATTCAGATATACGAGCCTATGGGGGCCATGATTATTCAGTTCAGACCACTATAGCCCTGATAGAACAGTTTATTTGTGTTTGTTTTGGGGGGGCATTACTGCTGATTTCTAAGAGAACTAAGATAACCTCAGGGAGTTAAGTGTTTATATTTAAAAATAGAGTTCAATATGACAGTATTAAAAAAGTTAGCATTTTATAAGCATTTATGTTTGAGTATGAAGGGATAGGGAAGGTATAGAAAGAGTTACATCCAATGCTTTGAAGATGTCAGCATCCATACATTGTATGGTCCTTGTTTAATGTGGCATACAACATTAACCCTCGCCCAACATGGGTCTTTATACCAATAAAAAGACATTACTTGGGATAACTGCATTTTGTTTATATTCTTTGAGTGTTCTTAAAAAAAAATTCTTGAGTCTGAAAGATGGCTCGGTGATTAAAGAGCACCACTGTTTGATTCCTAGCACCCACATGGTGTCTCACCATCTCTAACTCCAGTCCCAGGGGATCCAATACCCTCTTCTGAATTCTATGGGCATCCGGTGTATACACAGTGCAGACAAAGCCCATACACATAAAATGAAGCATAAATTTAAAAGCAAATTTAGTTTGCCTCTACTGAGTCCTGCTAATTCTTCTACACCCAGGATACCTGATTACCATGATGAACAAGAGCCACTAGTGAATAGGTTGCTCTCACAGCCTTTGGCAAGAATGAAGTTTTAAACTGCAGATAAAGCTACATTTCCACAAAAGGAACTTTGCACATGGTTTTCCTTATTCTGACCCTCTGCTTGTAGCAGGAAAGTTATAGAGACCTTGAGTTATTTGTTGGCAGTTTAGGGAAATAGCTAGAAAGAAAAAAGCTTGAGAGATGAATGGTCATTTGCTAAGAGCTATAACATCATGCTCCATTGTGTACTTCTGTGGACTTGGTCCTTCTCACACAGCACGGGCTATGGGGCAGAAATGCTAGGTAAAAGTGGATTTTCTGTGGAGATTTATTTCCTGTCTGCTTGCTCCCCAGAGCACTACACTGAGACCATGTAGTTATCCTAGGACTGTTGTCTGAGGTTTCTGTCCTTCCCGATTCCCAAAGAAATCACACAGAAGTCTACATTAATCATAAGCTGATTGGCCCATTAGCTCAGGCTTCTTATTAACTCTTATAACTTACATTAGCCCATTATTCTTATCTGTGTTAGCCACATGGCTCAGTACCTTTTTCAGCGGTGAAGTCATATCTTACCTCTGTGTCTGGACAGGACTGCAGAGGAAGCTTCCCTCTTCCCAGAATTCTCCTGTTCTCATTGACCTACCTCTACTTCCTGTTTGGTTGTCCCACCTATACTTCCTGCCCAATTGTCCCATACCATAGGACTTCAGTTTTGTGTGTCTTTTTACTGAGACAATAAAAATAGTTACATTCTGAGTCACGAGCTTCACAGTTAAGAAAAAATATGCCTAAAAAGAATATCCAACTTTTTCAGGGTAGTTTGTTTGCTTTAGAGGGCTTTTTCATATTGTTTTGTTTTCCTTTGTAAATGTAAAAAAAGACACTAACTAATTCATCTCATCTGAAAGTTTGGCAAGTTTCCTTTCTGGACCTTTTATACAGTTGATGGATTTCAATAGGCGGAAGACAGCTGAGGGGGTGGGGCAGATTTGTCATCCTCATCTTCAGAAGGGGATTTCTAAGCAGATGTCTGCATCTTCTGAAGAAAAGAAAGTATGTATATATATGACTTGTATCTGAGCATCTATTTCTTAACTGTCAGTTTATGAACTAAATAATAGTGCATTGGAAACACATAACAGATACAAGAGAATTGCAAACAAGATCTACACTAGAGCTTAGGATTGTAGGTTACTGAAGCTAGCAGTTTCTATTTACGTTTCATTTCGTATCGAGTTATAAGCAGGCAGTAGAAATGGCCACACTGTCACTGATATCTCCCTTTGGCAATTGACTTGCACTTCTTTTAAATGGCTTCTGAGCTATTTTAAAGCTAGGATATTCAATTTTGCTTATGTAAGAACATTAGAGATGTCTTGCTTTTGAATAAAAATATGATTTTAGAATTATAACAAAGTATAATTATACTGAATCCATAGTAAATAATTACAAATAATACATAGGTAGATTTTATTTCCGAAGAATATAGTGAACAGGTGTGCCACTGTGCCATGGAGAAGAAGCTTGGCAACATGAGCTACCAACCATAAGTTATGCTGACAGAGTCTGTAAGACCTTTGTATAAGAGCTTACCATTGTGTTCTTCCAAACATCCAAAGAGGAACATTGAGGGACCACTGCTCACAGCTATCTAGATAAAGACAAACGATCAAAATTAAGGGGCATATTTAAATACTGAGGAGGCTTGATGGCTAAATGCTGTGTGGTGTTTGAATCCTAGAACAGAAAAAGGGAGTTAGTAAGAAACTTAGTTAAATCTAAGTATGTCATTGTTGCTTAAGACGTTGACATTAGAGAGACTGGGTAAAGTGTATATGAGAATATACCTATCTTTGAAACTTTCTATATGTCTAAACTTCCAAGATGAAAAAAAATTTTAAATGGGCTATTGTATACATCCTTGAATTATAGGAATTTTTGTCTTGAAGGGGTGGAGGATTTGTATGCACACATATACCAAGGCAGGGTTTTTCTGTGAAGCTCTGGCTGTCCTGGAATTAGCTTTGTGGACCAGGCTGGCCTCAAACACACAGAGATATGCTTGTTTCTGCCTCCCAAGAGCTGGGATTATTGCACTATTACCTGGTGAGGATTTGCATTTAAACACTGTTTTCCAGGCCTCTGTTTGTATTTTGGTAATCACTGATTCGAGAGGAGAAAAGGCAAATTTAAAGAAATCATTCCATGCCATCAGGGATTCTGGTCTTCCATAGATATATTGGGTTGGGATCCAGGGAGCTCAGGAATAGACAGTGCTGAGTCCATTGTGTATTTTCTAGATTTAACATTGAATACTGGGCACGTATGCACACATAAGCTTTATTTTACACATGAAACAGTTCTATTTTCGAGAGACCTGACTTCAGCTTGATGAAAATGAAAAGGCACATGGATTCTTTTGGTGTTGTTAAGAGTAGTTGGTGTGTGTTTGGGGGGGGGGGGTGGCTCTTTTAATCTGAGTACCCGAACCTCATACGAGTTCTTGGAAATCTGGTTTACAGAGTGAAACCCTGTTTACAAACAAAAGAGCCTGCCACGATGACCCATGCCTTTAATTCCAGCAGCTGGGAGACAGAGATAGGAAAAACATTTTGAGTTTGAAGCCAGCTTGATCTGTATAGCAAGTTCTGGGATGGTCAGGGGTACCTACTGAAACCTTGTCTCACCAAAGAAAGGGGGTAGGTAGGAAAGTTAAAAATTCCTTTATGTGAATTATTAAATAGCATACTTAAAATAGCTTTTCTATCATAATTAAAGTAATTTCTGGATTTTTGAAGACTTTCTTAATTCTCTCCCCAGATAAAACAATAAAATTATGGAAAATCAGTGAAAGAGACAAAAGACCAGAAGGCTATAACTTGAAAGAGGAGGATGGAAGGTATAGAGATCCTACTACAGTCACTACACTACGGGTAAGCACTTACTAAAAACGACTCTCAATCCTAGCACAGCAGGGCAGAGGAAGGTGGATCTCTGTGAGTTTGAGTCCAACCTCATCTACATGGTGTGTGTTTGAAGACAGCCAGGCCTATAAAGAAACCCTGACTTTGAAGAAAGGAAAATGCCTTTGATAGGATTTTTGTCAGTATTTGTATAACCTGGCTTCCAAACAGATACCATTATGGCCTCTGTTCCCGGCCCCACTGGTGGACAGTTCCTTATGGGACATTGCATCTTTCTCATTGAAACAGCTCTGCCGAGGTCTTACCACTACTAGACTGTTTAACACTATTCTATCACTGGTTTTGGCTTTCAGAATTGGAATCTTAGTCATTGCAAAGTAATTTTCTTTGGAGCTCAGACAGTAGAAATGGACAGAATCTTACAGTTTTATGCTAAAGATCCTAAGAATAAGAAACTGGGTTTTCATTTCCTTCTTAGCCTTGTTAATTCAAACCATAAATGTACTGGTATATACCAGAAATACTGCTTATAACCTAGTACTTTTTGTTTGGTTTTGGATTTAGGGGAGTTCAGATTGGTGCTTACACAGAACCAACATCAGTGGCTTTAAAAAACTCATTCTTAATCTATTCCCCCATGTTTTGTTTTCTTGTGAATCTGGTTTTTCATATTTTGTTGACAGGTGCCAGTGTTTAGACCCATGGATCTAATGGTGGAGGCCAGTCCACGGAGAATATTTGCCAATGCCCATACCTACCACATCAACTCAATTTCTATCAATAGTGATTATGAAACCTACTTATCAGCGGATGATTTGCGGATTAATCTCTGGCATCTGGAAATTACAGACAGGAGTTTTAGTATCCATTTGACTTGTTTAGTTTGGTGTTTGGTAAAGAAATCACTGTGTCATGTTAGATTTATCTTCTCTCTCCTTAATGTATTTGAGTTCTTTGCTTTATAATATTTCTCCCATCTTTGTGGCATCTCCCCAGTCCCTCTTAATTTAAGTAATTAAAACTGAGAAAAAGTTACCTTCATGAGAAAATAGAAATAAGTATCATAGAGCTGATCCCAAAATAGATTTATAGAATTCTAGGGAATTTCTTTTGTGCCCTGAATATTGAATCTGAGTGTTTTGCTATACTTGTAAGATATTTAACGCTTTAATTACAAAAATATTAACATTGAAACCTGAAACTGATTTAAAGATCTGTTACTGCTTGTGTGCAATAGTACTGTTTAACAATCTCAACATTAAGCAGACTGAGGCTGGCAGACCAGGAGTTCCAGGCCAACCTAGGCTATATAATTGATGAGACCTCTCAATAAAAAGAAAAAAAAAAACAAAACACTTTTTAACATTTCTGGGTTTGCTTGCATAGGAGTAGAGTGTCATTAACTCGGGAGGCAGAGGCAGGCGGATCTCTGTGAGTTCGAGACCAGCCTGGTCTACAAGAGATAGTTCCAGGACAGGCTCCAAAACCACAGAGAAACCCTGTCTCGAAAAAACAAAAAACAAACAAACAAAAAAAAAAAAAAGAAGAAGAAATACTTGGCCGGACAGTGGTGGTGCACACCTTTAATCCCAGCACTTGGGAGGCAGAGGCAGGCGGATCTCTGTGAGTTCGAGACCAGCCTGGTCTACAAGAGCTAGTTCCAGGAGAGGAACCAAAAAGCTACAGAGAAACCCTGTCTCGGGGGGGAAAAATACTTGGTCTTAGTTATTTGCTCTTTTCTGAGTGGAGATTCCTTAATGAAATGCTGTGTAGATATTGTGGATATCAAGCCTGCCAATATGGAAGAGCTCACAGAGGTGATTACAGCAGCAGAATTCCATCCCAACAGCTGTAATACATTCGTGTACAGCAGCAGTAAAGGAACTATTCGGTTATGTGACATGAGGGCATCTGCACTCTGTGACAGGCATTCTAAATGTAAGTCTGTGTCTGCCCTTTCTTTAAAATGGTCTACTCAGACTCTGCCAGGCTTGTGTGTCTGTGGGTAGCTTCCCGACCCATGAGACTTATTCTACAGGAAGCACACGGGGTTGGAGTGTCTGGAGGTGGATGTGTGGCTAAGTTCTCCAACTGTGTATTCAAGCAGAGCTTGCTTTCTTTTTTCCCTCTTTTTTTCATCCCTCTTTCCTCAACCTTTGGAACTTACTAGGAAGCCCCCTTCCCCTCATGAAAGGTTCTCTTTATAAAATGTTGGGAAAACAGTGACATTAAAATGGGTGAAGCTGGAGAGATGGCTTAGCAGTTAAGAGCATGGCAGCTTACAACTGTCTAAATGTTTGCCCCAGTTCTAAGGAATCCAACATCCTTTTCTGGCTTTCTTTGATACTGCACACACATGATACACTTAGATACAGGCACATATACAAACACCATACACATAAAATAAAAAGGGATGGAGTTATAGAACTATTTTCTTGTCTTTGGTTACATTTAAAAAAAAAAAGCTCAGATATATGTACCAGTCAATAAAATCCTTTTATAAGGCAACTGGAAATTTGGATGGGTGAGGTGGGAGGTGGTTTTCAAGAGTGACAATAATAGAGACAGTGAGGCAGATTGTGCACTGAGGTAAAATGTCCCACATGAGTCTTCTTGTGCAAAATCAGACCCTACATCATCAGGGTTTTGCACTTTGTAGTAATCATTCATTTTCTTAAGAAATTTTGAAAGGAAATGTGTCCCCAAAGTTGGCAGAATTTTTTTTTAATTAGCCTGTGATTTTTATTTTCCCCTCTCTTGAATGATTATTTTAGAAAATGATTTTATCCAATCCCAAATATTAAACCTTTCCCCCTTTGTTTTCAGTGTTTGAAGAGCCTGAAGATCCCAGCAACAGGTCATTTTTTTCTGAAATCATCTCCTCTATTTCTGATGTAAAATTCAGCCATAGTGGTCGCTATATGATGACTAGAGACTATTTGTCAGTCAAAATTTGGGACTTGAATATGGAAGACAGGCCTGTGGAGACATACCAGGTATTCAGTTTGTTTCTTTTGAAGGGTGTGTGTCTGTGGGCAGTGTATAGAGGTCTTTCTTGCAGGTTGTTTGGAGTGGTGCATTTCTCTCAGAGAGCCATGAAGATGTTACTGTTGCCTGTGTTAAGTGTATGGGTATATTACTCTTCCTGCCTGTGTAAAGTGTATGTTGTCCGTTTAGGATTGCAGGGGAACTTAATTTTGTTACTTAATTTTAATACTGGCCACTTGGTATGCTGCTTTGTATACAGAAGAAGTGTGGGATGGAGCAGAGCTAGCGAACACTCTCAGCAGAGAATGTACTCCAGGTAGTATGTAGTGTAGAATGACAGTGAACCAGAGCTTAAATTTGACCCACCAAACATGACTCATCTACCTCCTGGCTCATTTTCAAGTTTAAAAAGGCCTGAATTCTTGACCGATGGCTTTTGGATTTGTTTCTTCAGTGCAGAATGTAAGTTCAGTATTCTCTCCTTGTCGGACAGCTACTATCCTTGACCCTTGTCTCCAGTGTCAGAGATAGGCGGGACTGAGGTACACAGTTCAGCACAGGCCAGGCCAGCAGAGCCTGTGGACCAGGGTAGAAAGCAATTCTCTGGAGCAGCCTAAGGAAATGTGTGGTGTTTACAAAAGTAGGACAAACACACACCTCAAGAGTCTGATTTTTCAACTCTCAAAATAAATGTGAGTGAAATAGTGTTTTATTTTCAAAGTGTTGGCGATATCCAGGAGAGCTACTGGTTGTCTTCCCCATGCCTGACACTGAGATGCTAGTTTCACAGTCTCCCTTTGTTTGGGGAAGAGACCCTGCACCATTGTGAATGCTCGATTTGGTTCTTACCTTACATATTACTTGACTTGCTGTTCTGTCTATAGAATTGGATTAACCATTGAGGATGAAGTCACATTATAACAGATCATTTGAATTTGTATGGTCATCTTGCTGGCCTCTGAGACTGGAGGCTATTTCTGATTGCTTTATGTCTACTAATCCTGTCCTGGCCCTTCATCAGTTTCAATTCCTGAGTGTTAAAATACTTAATATCATAGACATGACTCAAATCTATCAATACTTGAAGTAAAGTGAACATTTGCAATGAACTTAGATCCGAGTGTGCTAATATACACATAAAATCCCAGAACTCTGGAACATGATGCAGAGGTTTGTTATAGAGTCCCCAAGTTTGATACCAACCTGTTGACTGTCACTTCTTAAGGTTCTCATTCTGCAAAAAGGGTATGGCTGATGAACACTTGTTTTTCCTCTGATCTCAGCAAACACTGGGAAATGTCTTTGTTGTTGGTACCATCTTGTGGAGATGTTCTATGCTTTCTGATTGCCTTTTAACTAGCAGATTTACTTTGTAGTTTAGCCATTATAGTTTCCAAAATTGCCCTTTTGTGAAATACTATAACTCAAAAAAGAGATACATTTTTATTGAATAAAAATAGGAAGTGACTCTCAAATGTTTTATCATATGTGTGTGAGTGAGTGGTGTGTGCATGCAGAGCGCACATGTGGGCGTCAGAGAATGACTTTGAGGATTCAGTTCTCTTTAATGTGCATATCCTGTGATTCAAACTCAGGCTCGATGACAAGCATATCTCATAGCCCATTATTGAATTTTTAAATGATATTGGTAAGTGAGAGTGAGGAGATGGGGACAGACAGCCAAGAGAAATCAGTATGTCGTTAAGCCAAAGCCTTGCTGTACTGTCTATTCAATTTAAAATAAAATAGTACTTAAAGGGGAGGAAGCAGGTCAGCAGGAATGGAATGAGTGTCAAGAAGTAAAAATTAAATTCCTCTGCAACATTCTTTTGTTAGTGTCTTATCTGCCATTTTCAAATATCTTCTGACTTAGATGTCTCAGTTACTATTTGATTCATGTGAAGAGACACCATGACCAAGGCAATTTACAAAAGAGAGCATTTAAAATGGGTCGTGGTTGCACACACCTTTAATCCCAGTACTTGGGAGGCAGTGGCAGATGGATGTCTTGAGTTTGAGGGCAACCTGGTTTACAGAGGGCGTCCCAGGACAGCCAGAGCTACACAGAACAAACCCTGTCTCTGGGAGAAAAATGGAGGAGGGCATTTAATTGGGGTCTTGCTTACAATTTCATGGTGGGGAATATGGGCAGCAAGCAGTCAAGCATGGTGTTGGAACAGTAGCCACAATAAACAAACAAATAAAGGCAATACCACCTAATCCTTCCCAAATAGCTACCAATTCTGGACCAAACATCAGATGTATGAACCCGTGGTAGGGTGTATGTTCTTATTTGAATAATGACAGATGCTTTAGTTTAGATTGTCAGGGTATATTACAATGCCTGGAAAGGTGGTTTTTCTTAGTTGTGCCATGGAAAATATGCCTGCGTAAGAGTATGTAAGGACTAGAAGTAAGATTAGAGGGTGTGTGATTCTGTATACACACTCTCTAAATGGAGCTTTAGTTATTTTCCTGATTTGAAAAGAGATTGAAATAAACTAAGTATGTTTTCTCCCCAGGTACATGAATACCTCAGAAGTAAACTTTGCTCACTGTATGAAAATGACTGCATATTTGACAAATTTGAATGTTGTTGGAATGGGTCTGACAGGTAAGGAAAGAAACTTTGTTATGTGTTCATCCCTCTTGTCACATTAGGTAAAAATATGACTTTTTTTTTTTTTTAAAACAGAACTTATAAGTCATTTTCACCCAGGTACTTGTAAAATAAACCTAGTAATCATGGATAGAGCTATAATGACAAAAACAAAGTATTGATTTTCAAAGTAAATGCAAATCATAAGAAATCTATACCGGGGTTATCATTTTAAAATCTTCCCCAATTTTTATGAGCCAGATAAATGACATTGCTAGCTAGGACGGTGTGTGCCTGTAGTCCTAGCTGAGGCAGGAGTAACTCAGACCATGTTTCAAGAAACATTTAAATCAAAAATCACAACCCTGATATGCCAGCAGTTAATTAAAGTGGTGGATTTTGTTTTTGATTGCTACTCAGGTGTTTGGAGAACTGTTTGGGCAGCAGGTACTTCATGCAGTGTTGTACTTCAGTGTCTCTTACCCCTCCGCTCACTTCACAGAAATTATTGCAAGTGTTAGTGTAAGCACTTACTCCTTACTGTATTCCGACTAAAGCAAAGCATAGTTTTGAAATTACTGTAGGCCATATCTAAAGCAATTACAGGTGCTTTATTTGGCACTAGTTGAATTTAAAACACTTGACATGATTCAGATTTCTTGGTGTTAGATGTTACAGAGAGCCCTGGAACTTGGGATGCTTGTCTTTTATCTGGTTTTTAAGTTATAAGTACCCGAGTTTTACATGAAGCCCAGTAATAGGCTGGTCACGCTACACTACTCAGATGCTTGCTGCAGGGTAAGCACCTGTGATGTCATTGCTAAATGTGAGGCCAGTATGGACAGATGTCAAGAAAACGTAGTGATGTGTAGGTATGGTATTTTATACAGCCATTTTTTTCCCCATGTCTGGTAGCTGTATGGTGATTCTCAACATTAAGAATACTTTCTTAGGACAGACAGGGTGATGGATGTAGCAGAAAGGCTTCCAAACAACGACCTGAGTTGGATTCCTGGTGCTCATAGTAGAAGGAAGAACCAGCTTGTACAGATTGTCTTCTGACTCCATGTGTTACTCACACGAAAGGCTTTTGGATTCATTCCTATCAAATTACGTATTGAAAAATTATTTTTCAAACTATTTCTTCTGATGTTTATCTTAATTTTATGTGTATGAATGTTTGCCTGCATGTCTGTGTAGCATGTTTGTGCTTGGTGCCCATGGAGGCCAAATCAGGGCAGGAACTTTACTGGAACTGGAGTAATAGATGGTCGTGAGCAACCAAGGGTTGCTGGGAACAGATACCTGGGCATCTATAAAAGCAGAAAGTGTCCTTAACTACTAAACCCTTCCCAACTCCCTCACTGCTTCCTAAAGGACAGAGACCCCCATCCGCCACAACCATGGCTTCAAAAACAGCTTTGGTCAGTGCTGTCCAGAGCTCAGAGACTCACCAAGTGTTCTCAGTCCTTTTGTAGCAGAGTAAAACCTGCTTTTGTCTTAAAGTGACACGGCGTCATAACTTGTTCTCTTTATTCTAAAAGAGTTCTTTAGTTTCTTGATTTTCATAATCTGGGCACTTTGTGTTATAAAATAACAGTTATTTTATAGGTTGTTTCTCAGTGTGAGCATTGCATTTGCTCATTAAATAAAGATTATATACAAACTTTACAAACCTGGACCGAGGGGCCACCACCATCTTAGTGTGAATCAATTTTAAAGAAAAACAGTTGGGCTGGAGAGATGATGGCTCAGCGGTTAAGAGCATTGCCTGCTCTTCCAAAGGTCCTGAATTCAATTCCCAGCAACCACATCGTGGCTCACAGCCATCTGTAATGAGGTCTGGTGCCCTCTTCTGGACTACAGGCATACATGCAGACAGAATATTGTCTATATAATAAATATTTACAAAAAAAGAATTTTAAAAAAAGACAGTTTTAGGGTTGTCAGTGACATGCACCATCCTGAATTTGATTGATTGTCTTAATTCAGATAAGTTTAAAGAAGTTGCTTCCTGCAGAGTGCTAGTCCACTCTGCTCACTGATTTGTTAAAGTAAACAATCTCTTGTTAACAGTTTGATTGGGTATTCTACCTTTACAGCGTTGTCATGACTGGATCCTACAATAATTTCTTCAGAATGTTCGACCGGAACACAAAGCGGGATATAACTCTAGAAGCATCACGAGAAAACAATAAGCCTCGCACAGTTTTGAAGCCACGCAAAGTTTGTGCAAGTGGCAAACGAAAGAAAGATGAAATAAGTGTTGACAGCCTAGATTTCAACAAGAAAATCCTTCATACAGCTTGGCACCCCAAGGAGAACATCATTGCCGTAGCGACTACAAACAATCTGTACATATTTCAAGACAAAGTGAATTAGGCTGGCATTCCTAGCAGAGGGAGCCACTTCCTGCTTAGTGAGATAGTTGAATCTAGCATTCATACCTATAAGAGAGCGGTCCATTGTGGCGCCCCTTTCCAGTGTTTGACAGTGTGCCATTCGACAACACATATGATAGCCTCATGGAGAAAGCTGTGTGGATGCGTCCCGGGCTGTTCTCCATGTCTGCTAGCCATTTAGGAAAGGGAAGGGCACTTTTAATTTAATGACTTCTTGCACCATCTTGCCTGGTGGACTGGACTGGACTGTTGTCAGCATTGTTGTACTCCACTTTTTATGCCTTCCATTGTGATGACGTCAAACACAGTGAACGCCTTCAGTCATGCTATGGGATTTGTGTATCCTCATTACTGTATCATTTGTGGGGTACACCCCTCTTTTTTAAATTAAATACAGCTCATTCTTACTGTGGCTTGTAGCATTCCTCCTCTCTGGCCTCCTGGACTCTTCCCCCTCCATCTCTTACCCTTGCCCTTTCCACCTGGTCTCGGTGGTGGCATATCAAAAAAAGGAAGAACTAAAGAAAGCACACAAAATGAGTCAGTCTGGGGTCAGTGGTAATGGGGGTATATGTTGCGAACAAATGTTTTCATAACAGTTGGCTGTAATCACTCCTTGCCATGTCTGGCACTGAAAATAAGGAAAAAAAACCTACTACTGAATAAAAGTGACAAAGAATGGAGAATCTGGTTTTCTTTTTCTTTTTCTTCTACCTCTTTAAACCACCAATATTTTGTGTCATATCCTTGGGTGCAGTGAAATGAAATGGGTTTCTATTGTCTCCTTGGTATTTTTATGAACTATTTTTAACAAGTGTTCTTTTCCATGGAGCCTCGGAGAGAGGTGTGGTTCTGTTCACCCATACGTTGAACATATATTATTGTTAAGGGTTCACAGTCTAGAGATGCTGGAGGGTTCTGTGTTTTGTGTCTGCTTAATTCTTCTGTTCATGAAGTTGCTGTAAATGAGAACCACGGTTGTAGAGCTTCACTTTGAAGTCTTCTTCCAGTGCTTAATTTCATTTTGTCTTAGGAAATACCAAGTAGACAAGCTGACTTTTCTTGCTGTTGTGGCACAGCAGAGTGGAATTCCATCTGGAAATAACTTGGTAGATGAAGCCCATGCTGCACTGAAGAGCTGTTTTGTACTGCTTGCTATGGAATCAGAAGGAATTGTACTTTGCCATAGATACACCTTTTCTTTTGGTTTTCCAAAGGTATACTCGGGACAAGCTTTTAAAGGTACAGTGCTGCACGGACTGCAACAGCTGCATAGTACCAGATGGGAGTCTACCCACATTGTCCCAGTGCTGAGGCCCTAGCCAAAGATGGAGAGTGCCCCAGTTAGTGTGGAACTGCCCTTGGTCAGTCCTGCAGGAAGCTTTATGGAGAGAGAATGGACTTTATTTTTAAAAGATGAATGAGCAGGTGTTTATATGAGAATGGTAGTATATTTTGGTTGAACAGTAATATAACAATGTTGAATTTAGAGGACTCTGCGTGCTTATATATTTCCACTGCCTATTGTTCTTCAGTAATGAAAAATGATTAAACAACTTCACCACAGTTCCCTCTACACTTACACAAATATGTCTTGTACATTAACATTTTTAGCACACAGGAGAAATTTTATGTAATAAAGTTACTGTATCTTTTGGACTTAAATTTGAATTTGTATTTAAACGATGATATGTCTGATTCTTAATGGCACTTTTACTAATTTATTTTGGGATCTTGGGTGCACTCCTAGTCTTGTTACTTACTCTTTTGGCTTTCAAGTAGATAGTTGTCTACCCAGAAGGATCAGCTTTACTCATTTTTGGTTGGGCAACTTTCTGGATCTTTCGGGATGGCGGTTTCCCTACAGTTTGGCCTTGAAACCACCAAGTAGTTCTTAGGAACTTTTTTTTTTTATTCAAATGGTAGTTTTGTGATTCTCATTCATAACTATAAGGGTTAGTTTTATATAGTCAAAGGAAACCTACTTGCCAAACTTAAGATGCCTCTATTAGGATTGCTATCATAAACTATTGTAACATCTTAAGTGGCTTTTTAATTTCTTTGGTGTAGCAAACTATAAGCCCAGCCACTCATTTTATATCGTCAACTTTTATTAATAAAAATTACAGAATAAACCTAGTCTTGTCAACTTGTTTGTATTTTCCTGCTCTATTAAAACCAAGACATATTTTATCCTTTCAGTGTTTTTCTTTCTTTTTGTTCTTTTCGAGACAGGGTTTCTCTGTGGTTTTGGAGCCTGTCCTGGAACTAGCTCTTGTAGACAAGGCTGGTCTCGAACTCACTGAGATCCGCCTGCCTCTGCCTCCCAAGTGCTGGGATTAAAGGCTTGCGCCACCACTGCCTGGCTCCTTTCAGTGTTTTTGATGCTAGAATGGGAGAGCTCATTCTGTTACGACAATTCACATGGTGGCTGGGCAATAAGAAGAGGTAGTTTATCAACCTACAGTATACTTAGATAACTAACTTGTAGGTATTAATTGGTATAGCCCCTTTTTTAAATATTTTTTTATTTATTATGTAACTATGCCTGCAAGCCAGAAGAGGGCACCAGACCTCATTACAGGTGGTTGTGAGCCACCGTGTGGTTGCTGGGAATTGAACTCAGGACCTTTGGAAGAGTCTTACACATGAGACTTAATCATGGCTAGGGTTTTTTGTTTTAATTTTATGTATGAATGTGGGTGCACATTTGGCACAGAACGTGTGGAGGTCACAGGACAGCTTGCCGGAATTGGCTCTCCTTCCACTGTGCATTTTGGGACCAAACTGCAGGTCATCAGGCATTTACAGACCATCCCACCAAACCTAGAGAAATGCAAAACGATCATTTGTAATTTTTATGATTTTCTTTTTAGAAAATTGTGTGCCTGTAGAGCTAAGTACTACTGACAAAAGCAATTTAAACCATTTGGTTATTTAGAAATATCCATCTTTTCTACCCAGCATGATTTCAAATGAAAATAGTATCCACTGTCACCCTAGCCCCCATAAAGAAAATTGCCTGCTGTCTCAGTGGGTAAAGGAATTCAGAACCAAATGTGATGATCTGCATTCATTCCAGCTAGGAACAGACAAGTGACTCGCTTGTCCTATGACCTCCACACCTGCTTGTACACTCCTTCGTACACATTGACATATATATTGGGTCTGATGTGGTGCACACCTTCAGTTCCACTACATGAAAGACTAGGTAATCTCTCGATTCAAGGTCAGCTTAGTCTATAGCAGGTTCCAGAGCTACATATGGAGACCCTCTCTTTTGTTTTTAAATGAAGTGCGTTCTAAGTAATGAATCAGAATTTTCCTCACTACTTGAGAATCTGTCTCAGGTGCCTTAATGATCTGTCAGCATGGAGAGTTGAAACCATGTAACCGAGTTTCTTCTATAGCACTCTGAGTCAACTCTTGGCAACTGCCCTACTTCATCTTATATCTGTGCATGTGCACAGAAACACTGCACCGAGCAGTTAGGTGTGGTGTCTCGTGAATCCATAGAGCCTGGCGGTGTTCTCAAGATACTGAGTAATTTGGGTTTCAGTGTTTCTTACGGTGGTATGAGGCTGTGTGACCCACTAGCCCTGTCTGTGGTTGAATTAGACACTTTACAGACTTGAAGTTACCATAAAATGTCCCTCCCTAATACCTCACTTCTCAAATATAAAACCACAAAACTTCGAATTCTACAAAGAATTCTCCAAGCATAAAAAGACTTAAGAAATATGACCAGCAACAGGTTATTTGGGTAATTTCCCACTAGGGGGCAATAGTTAAATTTTGACCTGTCTTTGTGGTATAGTTTTGAAACTATAGAGAGGAGAGTTAGGTTTCTGATCTAGGAGAGACCCATTAAATCACAAGTAAGAGGAAATGAAGGGCAAATCCAAAGGGTGCTTGTGTCCAGATGAATGCCCTTTTCACTGCCACCCTGTAGTGAGTGGAGACCCTGAAGCCATCTGATGGCTGGAATGTACCAGCCTCACGGGGAAAGAACTTAGTATTTGTCCCTTGCACTGTGTTAGAAGCAATATGTGTGGGGCTGGAGAGATGGCTCAGTGGTTAAGAGCACTGCCTGCTCTTCCAAAGGTCCTGAGTTAATTCCCAGCAACCACATGGTGTCTCACAACCATCTGTAATGAGGTTTGGTGCCCTCTTCTGGCCTGCAGACATACACACAGACAGAATATAGTATACATAATAAATAAATATTTTTTTAAAAAAGCAATATGTGTAAATATGATTTCCTTGGATAGTTAAAATCCCTTAGCAGAGAGGCCATTCACTCATATGTTCTTAGACTTGTCCTATAGGAACGAATCATCCAATATAATCATATTATCTTTTTTTTAATATTTATTTATTTAACCGCTGAGCCATCTCTCCAGCCCCCTCATATTATCTTCTTATATGATTTCCTTGGATAGTTAAAATCCCTTAGCAGAGAGGCCATTCACTCACATGTTCTTAGACTTGTCCTTCTATAGGAACTGGAATCATCCAATATAATCATATTATCTTCTTATTTCTCCGCCTGACCTCTTGAGCAGATTCCCATGCTGAAGATTTTGTTTTGAACTCATGATCTTGTTTCTTTGTCTTCCAAGTGATGGAATCACAGGTGTGTGCCATCATGCCTGACTTTCAAGTACTTTCTGTAAACAGACTTTTCTTGTCCTCATAACCTCACTTGTGTGCATGCTCCATGGCCAGTTCCTGTTAATTGAATTTTGTTTTTATTTTGCAAGTAGAAAATACTAGAATAATATGTATGCCAGTCTCAGTGTTGAAATTAAATGTTAAATTAGTGTACGGTGCTAGAGATGGAATTAGTACCTTACAGGAAACAGCCATTTAAGATCTGGAACAGGTTGTTAAAAAAACTTTTCAAGGCCGGCGGTGGTGGCGCACACCTTTAATCCCAGCACTGGGGAGGCAGAGGCAGGCAGATCTCTGTGAGTTCGAGACCAGCCTGGTCTACAAGAGCTAGTTCCAGGACCGGCTCCAAAACCAGAGAAACCCTGTCTCGAAAAACCAAAAAAAAAAAAAAAATACTTTTCAAGATACCAAAATTTGGACCATAATTATATCACCCATGTTTTCATACCCATTAACTGCACACACCTGTGTTTTCATTTTTATCAATTTGAGAAAATAGTGACAAACTCAGTATAGTGGTGCACACCTATAATCACAGTAGCCTTGGAAAGAGGAAGAATCAGGAGTTCAAAGTCATCCTCGGGTATGTAGGTTTCAGACCAGCCTGGACTACATGAGCCACTATCAAAAAGGCTGGGCGAAGGCTGGAATGATGGCTCAGCTGTAGAGTATTTGTTGCTGTTGCAGAGGACCTGGTGCAGCTTCTGCCACCTACGTGGTGGATCGTAGCCATCTGTGATCCCAGTTCTAGAGGAGCCAATGTCCTCTTGCCTTTGAGACAGAGCATGCACATGGTACACATACATACATATAAGCAAAACACTCATTCACAAAAAAATCATAAGAAGGCAGAAAGAAAACAATGTAGCTCTTGTGTGTTGAATATACATTTATAGGATGTGCTTCATAAAGTACATTCTCTAAGTATGAAGTTTGTTTCTTTTCATCCCTAATGGAGTCTTTTGAAAAAATGGACCTTAGTGGGCTGGAGAGATGGCTCAGAGGTTAAGAGTATTGCCTGCTCTTCCAAAGGTCCTGAGTTCAATTCCCAGCAACCACGTGGTGGCTCACACCCATCTGTAATGAAATCTGGTGCCCTCTTCTGGCCTGCAGGCATACAAGCAGACAGAATAGTATATACATAATAAATAGATAAATAAATTTTAAAAAAACCTTAGCCGGGTGGTGGTGGCGCACACCTTTAATCTCAGCACTTGGGAGGGAGAGGCAGGCGGATCTCTGTGAGTTCGAGACCAGCCTGGTCTACAGAGCCAGTTCCAGGACAGGCTCCAAAGCTACAGAGAAACCCTGTCTCGAAAAACCAAAAAAAAAAAAAAAAAAAAAAAAATTTGTTTTGCTATTTTAGGCTTTTTTTTTCTTTGCCGAGTTGGAGGTGGTTCATAATTTTTTTTTTTCATGGTGGCTAGAGAAAGGGTTCAGAAGTTGAGCACACTGGTTTCTCTTGTAGGGGACTATGTTCAGTTATCAACACCCAGGTGGGATGACTTGAAGCTGCCTGTAATTCCAGATCCAAGGCATCTGATGCCTTCTGGCTCCCATAGGTACTGCTTTTACATGCACAAACCCATATTCAGATATGCATATATAGTCATTTTTTAAAACAGAGGTTTCAGTAGATTTAGGCATAGGCACCAAAGAGAGAAGCACTCAGAAAAGTATCCAACTGTGTAGGTTTCTTTAAATATTTCTATACACAGCTTTAAAAAAAAATATATTAGGGCTGGAAAGAGATGGCTCAGAGTTAGAGCATTGCCTGCTCTTCCAAAGGTCCTGAGTTTAATTCCCAGCAACCACATGGTGGCTCACAACCATCTGTAATGGGGTCTGGTGCCCTCTTCTGGCCTGTAGGCATACACACAGACAGAATATTGTATACATAATAAATATCTTTTTAAAAAATTATATTAGCATTATTTTGAGTTTTTCCCCCCCATAACGCTGAGGAACAAACCTACGATTGTCTTCATGCAAATTTTTTTTATTTGTTTTGAGACAGGGTCTCACTATGTAACTCTAGCTGTCCTGGAACTCACTATATTGACCAGGATGGCCTCAAACTCACAGAGATCTATCTACCTGCCTGTGCTTCTTAGGTTCTGGAATTAAAGGTGTGTGCCACCATACCTGGTGATACTTTGCTTTCTTATCTAAATTGAATTGTTGTACACTACTTTACTTGGTAATGGAATTATCTCAAATAGTGAAGAACTGAGTGGTTAGTAAGCTGGAGTGTCGTATTCAGTCTTGCGTATCTCAGAAAGAGCTCACTCTCGATCCATCCCCACTTTTCTTTCTACAAAAAGCCAAGTCCTCACACAGAACACTTACTAAAATGGTAGGACAAGCTCCAATAGAATAGAATTGATCTGTGTATATGTCCTCTGATCAAAATAATTTTTTTTAACACCTGAAAATCGTGGTTTGGTAGTTCAGTGGGTAGTAAAAAAACAAAACATTTAAAAATACCTTAAACTTTGTAAAGGAAGCATCTAAAAGGGGGCTGGAGAGATAGCTCAGTGGCAGAGTGCATACTGCTCCTGCAGCAGCCCTCCTTGCAGAGGACATGAGTTGTGGTCCCAGCACACATAACTGGATATGATCACAGGCCACTTTTAACTCCAGCTCAAGGTGAATCCCATGGATGTCTCTGACTTCCACAGTACCTGCACCAGTGTACATCCCCACACAGGCAAACATAATTTAAAAAAGATAAGTCTTTTTTGTTGTTTTGAGATGGTTCCTCTGTGTAGTCCTGGTTGTCCTGGGACTGGCTCCATAGAGCTGGCTAGCTTCTGGTGGGAATATAGGCATGCCCCACCATGCCTGGCTAAAAATAAATCATTAATGAGAAGTATCTGAAAGAAAAATGGCTGGTGATATAATTAAAAGTGATAGAGCACTTTAAAAAATTAACAAATGCTGAGAAACATGAGGGAAGTCGTGTGCATTCGTTCAAGAGGCTGTGTCTCAGCTCCAGTTGTGACACACCTTTAATCCCAGCATTTAGGAGACAGGCAGGTGGATCTTTGAATTTGAGGCAGCCTGCTCTACAGAGCGAATTCCGGGACAGCCAGGGTACACAGAGGCATGGTGGCACACACTTGTAATACTGGTGAGTAGGAGGCCGAGGGAAAACTGTCAAGGCTGGAGATCAGCCTGGACTTCATAGTGAGTTCCAGACCAGAATGGGTTACAAAGTGAGACCTTGTCTCACAAAGGCGAGCAAATGAAATAGATCGATAGATAGATATCATTGGGTCAGTTGGCTATGAAGTTGAGAAAAATCAAAGGCAGTTTACAACTTAATTTCAGGAGAATTGAGGGAGCATCTAATGAAAAACTAAGAGAGAATTAGGGTTTTACAATAAGTTCATAATCTTTAAAAAGTTATTATTAGTGGGACAGTGGTGGTGCACACCTTTAATCCCAGCACTCGGGAGGTAGATGTAGGTGGATCTCTCTGAGTTCGAGGCCAGCCTGGTCTACAGAGGGACTTCCAGGACAGACTCCAACATTACAGAGAAACCCTGTCTCAAAAAACAAACAAATAAACAAAAAGTTATTACTAGTGGAACAGGACATGGTTGAGCAGTTTAGAGCATGTACCACTCTTAGGACCTGAGTTCGATTTTCAGCACCTCAATGGAGTAGCTCACAGCTTCCAGAAAATCTAGTGGTAGCGCGATCGGATACCTCTGACCTCTAAAAGTACCTCCACTCCAACACACACACTTGTATAATTTGAAAAAAAATCTTGCCGGGCGGTGGTGGCGCACGCCTTTAATCCTAGCCCTCGGGAGGCAGAGGCAGGTGGATCTCTGTGAGTTCGAGACCAGCCTGGTCTACAAGAGCTAGTTCCAGGACAGGCTCCAAAACCACAGAGAAACCCTGTCTCGAAAAACCAAAAAA